ACTTTATATACCTAATTAATTATACATAACAGTAAATTACAACGGGGTTTAATTCAAACGGATATACATGTGTACATAAATGTGGACATTTCTCCCTTCCCCCGGCGCATCATGTTTGTACTAAACCTCTTAACGGCGTGGTGTTTACATAATATTTCATTTCGAGTGAGAACGCACGGTTAACAATTGTCGGCATTACTTTGGATACTGAACTTTTAGCCGGGCTTTATTTGCAAAAGGGGTTTTTGTCGGCGGCAACGGGGTAACCGAGCGTAGATTTACAATAATAATTGGTCGGTCTGGGAATTACTCTTTCGGTGTTTTCATTTGGCCTTAGACAATGAAACAATTCCATTGCGGCCGCTCTCAGCGAAGCTAATAATTGTTCGGCCAATGATTATTTACTTTGCTATTGCTAATTGTTAACGTACAACGTGACAAATGTAATTTCTATTTCGGGGCATAATTATTGTACTCGTCTTCAAAATCAATTCAAATATCGTTGGGCATAAAATGAGAACAGGCCGATTTAGTCCTAAGTATACATTTGTAAAATTTGGCACTAGACATAATTTGAATTATGTCAATTTCAAATTATGTAAAAACTATTGGTAGAGTTCTTAATTCTGTTATAGTGATTAATTCGGATAACATAATATAATGTTAATGTTTTTACATCAATGATTATCTTAGTTCTATTTCATTTTCATAATCATAAATTTGTTCTCTCTCGTCTCGCACAGCCTTTGGCTTTTGAGGATATTCATCATAGTATATTATTATTATTGTTCACATTTTCTCATAAAACCATTATTCGCCGTGGCACGACATCGACGTTTCTGTGAATTTTTGTTTTCCTTTTGCCAGCAGGTGGTTTTAAATATCATCACGTGCGTCGCCGTCACCGCCAGGGACGGATAAAGTATTTTCTTAATGCAAAGGTACAGCTAGCTATACGGCTCACAAGCTGTAAATTCATTAGCATTGAATGATATGGGCCGATATTTCTTCACGACGTCCGCCGCCCACCATCGCGGCGGTCTGTCCCTTTCATCGCGTTGAATAGGTCGGATCGGTTTGGGAATCTCCGCGAGGGAGCCTTTTCATTCCAGATACACTTCGTTCAATATATATTTAAGTACAGGTAATATGTTCGTATACACGGATCCCGGTGGCGGTGCAGTAATTGAGTTGACGGCGGAATCCGGGGGAAAACGTTCGAATTGACGGGTGCGCCGCATATGGAATTGTCGGTATATATTATTGGTTAAGGGGAAAAACGAAAGTCAAAACCAATATACATTTCGAGACCCCAAGTGCCGGCCCGACGAGACCACGAATGTCTTGCAAAAGCCGGCATAGCAACAGCGCGCGGACCGAATAAAACTCCCCTTTGCCGTTGGAAACCTTTGCCTTTCGCTTGCACGTTATACACTAACACAACGTGAACTTGCCACTGCAATCCATTGTCAGTATTATTATTACTGTCCCTCGTGTAATTCGCAATCGGTCGACTTGAGAATTCAAGTTACACACACACACGTACTTGGATAAATCACGATATTTCATCAGCTTATTTGGTTGTTGGAGTGGAGAAATTCTCGAATTAATCTCATAGATTTAACGCGCTTTGCAAACTAACAGCAAAACTTCCGAAGAATGCGGTGCGCTAATATGATTTGATGTACACGGAGGATTAGGTTAGGTTTAACGTTATATTTAACGAAGAAGGACGGAGAAGAAGGACGGAATGCGCTTTACCGAACGACCGGCAAATCAACAATTCTAACGAGAAAAGTCAAAATTATCTGTTGTAGTATTACATTCTTGCTCGATTGTTATTACAATAGGGTAGTTTTAAAATAGCTAAACATTTAAATAAACCCTTAACTACAAATTATTATTGTTTTTCTTGTTAAGGGTTTATTTTAGTATTTAATTAATAGTATTAGCGTATAACCAAAAAGTGTTGCTCAAGTATTTTCTAGAACGCCGTAGTTGTTCATTAAATACAGTTATATAATAGTTGTTAACAACGATTGTGTTGTTAACCAACAAAAATAAACCATATCAGGTTTCATGTTTTTTTTCTGGAACAATAGCCGCGACATCGATCAATGGTTTCCACATGATGCGTAAGTACATGTACAGCAAAACGATTGGGGGTTTGATTAAAAATTTACAAGTACCGGAAGTCTCTGTTGTTTTTTTTTTTTTTATTTCTTTCGAGGTTTTCATGATTAATAAAGCTAATAACGAAACACAAGTATACACGTCTACCGGCGATAGCCAATACGGGCAATTTCGTTTACTCGGCCACGTTCTTTTAAATAATAAAAACCCACAAAGTATCGATTGTACAGCGTATATGAACGTATAGCTTTCAGTTAACTCCCACAAACGTTCACGAAAGCACCGGTCAACCTCATGATATATTCATAATCTTGGTCCGAATTCTCGAAAAGCACAAGCACACACCCCCACAAAAGTTCCGCTGCCGGGTTCTGCCGTGCTGCTATATTATCCTTGGCCGCGTCAAACAACCCTCGTGGCTTCGGTTTAAATATGGATAGGCGTCTGTTCGTCACGAATACGGAATGCTCCTGCAGAATTTTATATAGGAAACACATTAGGCACGCCCGTTATTATCAAGAGCCCGTTATTATCTCGGAACCCCGCACACAACCGAGGGTCAGTCGGTCATTAGATGATATATAATATGTATGTCATAAAATATTCAACGGCGCCGGCAAATTTTAATAAATAATAATTCACATTTCTCGATACTTCAAAGTTTAAGTTCATAAATAAAATATGATCACGTGGTCGCCGAAAGAACGCTACACGCAAAGGTATCGTGTATAGGTAACGTTATAGCGTGTACTTTACAAGTTGACTATAGCCGTATTTTTAAATAATTAAGTCGAGAAATATACTTAGCGAGCGTTTTGTCTACTGTCCTAGTTTAACAACGGCCTTATGCCGCAGATTAAATAAAACCACATAGGTGCACCCCTCATAGAGAAACTGTAGATTTTCAAATAACTATTTGTGATTGGTTTAAACTTAATGCAGTAGGGCCAAACTATAGTGCCGAAAATGTTGTACAATAATAACTTAAACTGATAACATTACAGATGTTCTATAATGATGGGTTTGGCGGATCTGCGGCCCCGAGCACCACACTCCACAAGGTAATATTGGTTGATCAAAGATATCTTTCAATCCTAGTATTGTGTGAGGTTTTACACGGGTGAAAATACTGCGTTCTGCAATATTAATGAAACGAGACACATACGAGCAGGGCACTCGCAGAGCACCCGCTTTGATGGTACAACAAACATGAAGAAAGGTTATTAAAACGCGCTTTATAATGTTTGCTATAGCTGCACGCGGTTGAATCTTCAAACCGTACAGAGTCAATGCGTTTGATAACCGGTGACCCATAGTCAAATTTATTTGACTATGCAAGGGAAAAAATACCGCAGACGTGAATACAAACAACTCGAAAAATAAGAAAACGACCCCTTACGGTTTATATAATACCACGATATTGTATAAATATTTATATAACAGGCGGTTGCCTGTTAAATTGTATTGTTTTTGTCAAAATACTACAGATTACATATTTTAATTTAAAATTAATTTATGTTAAAGTGACCTAATGTAAACTTAGAATAATGATATTGAAAATGTACCGACAAATTATATCCACTTGAGTTGTTTTCAAACAAACACCGACTTTATTTGGGATCACATTTAACGCGTCTTTATGATCCTTAAAATACCTACACTTAAATTAGTGCTAACTAAACGATATTGAATTAACAATGAGGCTTAATAGTCGAGTGATCGAAAGTCAACTAGTGGTAACTTAAGCTATGTACAGACTGTTGTACCTATAGTCTTCAACCGGGGCAAATTTGAAAATTTAAAGTATTTCTGAAGCAATTTACTAGCATGTTTTTTTCAAAGAATAAGAATGATGTTTTAAAATGAAAATTAAAGGCACGTTTAATAATATACATGTATTCTAAGAAAATGCGCTGCTTTAAATCGCAGAGTATGTAGACAATTAAAATGGGTCCTATAACAAGAATCCGGCCTTTGCTAGTAGTGAACCAAGAGTGGTAATTTACATTTGCCCTATTCCGAAAAAAACGTTGTCGCTTTAATAAAAAAAAAAAAGGACTCTTCACAGAAAAATTCGAGACCTTATTAAATATTTCAAGCTCTTTGAATAGATTTTATGGGTTTTTCCGAAGCTTCAAAGTATGCGCCTGTACATCCTGCACTTGTACACGCTTTTGTATGTAATATTAGCATTTGAAAGTTAGCGATAAAACGTTGTACGCTTGGAATACGCTTTTACTGATCAATAATAATAATAACACTATTGGAGTATATTCGTGTAAATGTTATTTCAGCCGAGCCATTATATTTTTCTAAAGTATATAAAAAACAAATATTGGACTTTAAAGATATGTGTGTGTGTGTGGTTGTGCGTTTGTCGACGCTGCTATATATATTTAACGGTTGACTCATTGCATATTATAATGTTGTCTTTGATCAACTACGACGTTCTCCGATAGACATATACATTATATTTTGTTGCGTATCGTTATCGGTGTTCAATTACAATAAGCCTCTTGGTGTACAAATGTGAAATAATCGTTCCGCAGGCTCTCGGTCACTATTTTGTCGATTTATGAATATAAGTACCAGGGACTTTAGCGCGGAGCTCACCGAGGACGGTGTCAATGCAGACGTATGTCTTATAGTACACTTTACCTATAGTACCCTGTACCCAAATTCCTAAGCTGACAAAATCGCGACACCAACTGCCACGCAGAACCGTTCGAGGCGCCTAGAACACACAAGGGGCCATATTATTTTAGGCGGGCTCGTACCCGTTATTCCCTCTAATCCCTCTAATTCCCTATAGCAGTTACGGCAGCCGTTTGAAAACTATGAAAATGAAAGTGAAAAAATGACCGTACCTTGTGACACTCGCGCCGGGCAGAGCGGTGAGAGCGGCTATCCTGTTGGCGTTGCCGTCTACCGGGTTGTGGGTCTGTGTCGGCGACAGTTTAGCTGCCAACGCGCTGAGCGTGTGTAACATTTCGACCGAGTTCCGGGACGCTGGCCAATCTGGTCGCATGTGGACGATCCTGTGCTCGCTGTGATGATCTAGTAAACACCAACCACCGTGGTAGTCCTGTGTGTGTGTGTCCGGTCGTGTGCTTCTCAGTCTTGGCGGCCCTTCTCGTTGTCGTTACGGCAAACACACGTGGTCGCTAGTTATTTGATGCGGACGTGCCAGCGAACCATGGCCGTCAATCAAGTACGGTGTAAGCGCACGCGATAAAATTGTATTTATATAAAAGACACAAGACGAATCGGGACGAATCGCGAAGAAAAAAATGTCAATTATAATGATACAAAATTCGCACTACGCGCGAAAATTCGAAAATCACATTTAACCGCGCAACGCAAAAGTTATTGGCGACACTGTAGTGTTATTGTGACGAGAGGGACGCGGCCTGATTGCAGCTGAACCGTCGTTGCGATGTAGCGATGAGTGTGCGTAGTGGTCACCCTGTTAATGATAAAATAAACATAATATATGAAACAACAAAACGGGTAAAATGTACAAAATTCGAAGAGAGCATTATTGTTTTAACGTAGAACACCTTTGTGTTTTGGAACGTCATGGTAAACATTCATATGAGCGCGGCACAAACGCGCTTCGGATGAGTTAGGAGTTATCGACCTCGGCTAAAACGGCGTTATCTAGATACCAAATTGCCAAGAAAACAAATTGGTGAATAAAAATATTGTAAAAAAATGTAACGAATAACTTCAAAACTTTGAACACGATAAAATATTCAAAAAAACATATATTTTGACATCAATTATTAAAGTTGGTTTAAAGCCAATAACTCATTGAATTAACACTCCAAAATGCGTTTGGGCTGCAATTTATGTACCCACTCGGATTGATGTCAACCACAACAACCGCTTCTTAACAGACTCCTTATTCTTAAGCATAAGCGTGCCGTCGCAGGGTATATGCAGCATGTTGAATAATAAATAATATCGAACCCTTTTTTCATGCATAAAGTTAAATTTTCCATACGATCAGCGTTCATCGAGACAAGTGGTTTAGTTGCATTAAGTATATTTATTGCACGTCATGTTTGCCTATTCGTAACCCCTTAGAAAATGCGGGTAACGAATCCTCTTAAAAGTTGCATTGTGCGTTTACAGTCTCTGGTTTAGCTGCGCATCCCCTACGCGCACGCCTATGCTGTTAAGGGTTGTTAATACCTATTATATTGATGGTGAGCCCGTGTGTGTCTGTGTCTTTGTGTACGTATACAATGGGAACTATACTCTCTAGATGCCACCGCAAGTATGCTACACTTGAAGCCGACGTAAGTAAAGGGTAATTAAACGGAAGGTCGATGTACCTAATACACAGACCGGCGAAAAACACGCACATGCCGGTGTGCCTTCTTCTCGAACGCAGAACACGGGTTAGGTGCGAAGACGCTTGACTTGTGTCGAGAAAAGTGAAAATTCCGATTTTTATACTAAATAAATAAACGTAAAAGGCGGTCAAAAATAAAAACAGAAAAATTATATTATCGAAAAAATCGAAAACAATAATCCAATAATAAAGTTTTATCGCTTTTGATTTTATCGGAACCGTCAGATAGACCCCCGGGACGCCCTCCCCTTCCCCCCAGAGGCTTCCCGGCGGGGCTGGTTGGGGGCGACGGGAGTTTATTATATTTGTATATTTATTTATACGGCGCTAGCGGTACTATATATATATTTATATTTTTTCTTTTTTTATATTGTTGCCATGCGATTTTTTTCTTTCGCTTCTGCTTGTAAGATTTAAGTTTTTTCACGACAATAAAAATGAAATAATGACGAATAAGTACGTGTCGCCGTCGCGTCGTGCAGTAGAACCTAATATTTCCATATCCGCCGTTCAGCTTTTCCGAGTTACATTCAGTGTATGTGTGTATATATGTATTTGTACATAAATATTGTCACGGTTTTCACGACTGAATTGATAGATATATTTGCATGGGAAACCCACGAGACGCCTCGTATTTCATGTACAAATCCAACGAAACCTAAGAAGACACGAACCGACGCCCAAAACTGTTACAAATCCCGTGCTGAACTTAAACAACACCATACTATATTGTAATATTTTCTTTTCTTCTTTTACGCTATACAAAAATAAAGGTATTTATTTTACTTTATCCATAAGCCCTACAGATATTCCTACAGACTTGTAAACTTTACCTCCGATATTTAGCTAAGAAGGCAATGTGTTTTTTTTTCTGTGACTGAACTCGCGATATCTTCTTGAATCTGTTTCCTAATATGCAGCAACTTTATAGATCAGATATCTTACTTTTAAGTTATTTTATTGGGCCATACAATTCAAAAAGGTACACCCTTGCCCTCCTAAACGTCCAAAAAATGTATTTATTTTCAACTTGAAATTATTAGTTAAAATTAGTTCCGAATTGGTATGGGTTATTCTTTAGGCATAATACTATGAAATCACAAATATATTATAAGTATCTCTTTCCCTTAAAAAAAAGGTGGATATTGTTACAATTGAGTTTTACAAAAAAAAAAAAAAAAAGAGATACTTTTGACCACCTAAAAATAACGACACGTGGCCGCATCAACACTGGGACTTCTGAATATAATAGTATAGACTTTAAGAGAAAAATTGTGGATGAGCGTACGGTTATACATTTCAGGAATCTAATATGTATATCGTGGCCTTACATTGGGACGTAGGTTGTGTAATATAATATTATATGTTCACCGAGCTTACGACCTAAATGATCAGCCCTGTCTGTCGCACCGGAACGTACCTAATCCTCACTTAACGGTTAACCCGTGTACAGATAGACAGCGAGTTAAATTCGATCTCTGAACTCAATATAATATTGGATACGTGTCGTGAAGGCTATTAGCCATTCAAATTGGATTTCCCCGCACCACTATGGCGCACACGTGTTTTAATTTTGAATCAAATAATAATAATTGCGTACCTATATCTAATTTGTAAACTTTCGTTTTGTACGACTTCGGTTCATTCCGAGATTGTCATGATAATTGTTATGCCAGTACTGTTAATTAGAAATGGCAATGTACACATATCCGTAGAAAGTCTGTCAAGCACAATATCCAAAATGTATTCCTATGAAAAACCTACCCACACTCGGGTAAATCAATTTTACCAAATACATGTATTAAAAATTGTTTTATCTCGGAGCGTGTAATTAATATGTTGACAGTTAACAAGCAAATGACAATAATTAATTATTGGCACGATACCCAATAGTATGTATACATTTTATTAATAACCAAAAACATAATTACAAACTACGGATTCGCGTGGCTTGTATACGGTATTTGAAAAGAGAATAGTCAAACAAATTGTTGTATTTTGCTTATTGAAACTATTACCGTTTCCAGTAACATATATAATATAGTTGTTTTCTTACGTTTGGAAAACTCACAGATCAAACTCGAAATACATTTGATCGGTTTAAGTTGTGTTTTAACCGTAGATAAGTTACCACAGCAACTCTATCATAGGATTATTTAAAGTTTTAATTACTTCCTCCTTTGTTAAATTGGTAATTTTCCAAATTTTGATTTTTTTTTTTGTAGACAATAAATAAATTGTGGCTATGTGTGTGTCCCTTCCCATTCTACAACCCTTAAACAACAAGCGTTTCCTTTTCACGAACAAACGTTTTGATGAGAAAATATTATGTCGAATAAACATCAGCTACACCAGGTTCCTTTTACCGTAAATGATTTAATAGCCACGTGATGTGCGAATCGAACGAGCTGACTGCAAAACGACTTGCCGCAAAAGATATTCAAATTTTACTAATTACCATCATAGTGATAATAAATATAATTACATTGAAATTATATATATATATACGCAGAGCTAAGATAGTATTGAGGAATTTATATTTTATTCGTATATGTTCGCCAAGGCGAGGGTTCAGAGCACAAGCGAACCAAGTCCATCACTAGCCAGTAATTTCCAGTAATTGGCTTCTAAATTGTTTTTCGAATAATCTACTCTGTGACACAATGCAGTAAAAGTCGTTTTTGCGGCATTAAGATGAACCAAGGACTTGGTTCACTGCGACACTGAGCTCTCCAAATGATAAAGATTTTGGCAAAAAAAAAAAAATGCATTTATCATAATTTCCCTACGTGATTACCCTCCGGCTAGACGGAAGACTTCAAAACAAATAAACAAAACCGCCAACACTCAGGCGGTCAACGTTAAATTGGTTAGAATATGTTATTTATCAAAAAGCTTAGGAGTAGCGCTTACCGCTCCCACGCTAACTGAGAAACGTGCAAGCGCGTTGAACCTCCCCACCGCGGCGGCCCATTAAAAATAGATCTGTGATGCGCTGCTTTTTTTATTTTATTTTCTCTGGGTTGTTTGTTTTGTTTTTTTTGGTTTACATAAAAACGCTAATATACGACCGTGGCCTCCGTGTGTATGATACGACCGAGCCCGCTATATTTATATAATATCCGTGTATAAGCCTCCTCCGGCCACACGCCGCTCGCTTGGTCATTTTATTTTATTGCCTCGGCTCGCTCCGGCGCTTCTAATTTAAGAAATTCTCTTAATATATGAGATGAAAACGATACACACTCGTGCGACAAACACATCCATTGGCACTTCCATACACGGCCAATAGCGCGGTCGCCGTGTACGCTTTATTGTTACACATTATTAAATTTATTTTTTATTATTGTCGACGGTCTTGACAATATATAATATTGTATTTTTTTTAATATAAAAAGCCAAACGACGCGCGTTAAAAACATAATAATTACCGGACCGAGTTTTGTAGCAACACTTTCGAACCGTTTGAACCGAGAAAAATACCTATAAAATATATGAATTTCGTTTTTTTTTTTTTTTTTTCATCAAGCAAACGGCGAAGACGGCCTTTGTATTGTCTTATTTACGAAAAGATCCGCCGGTATACAATACAATATTTTCGGCGTTGGAAAACAACCGTGTTAAGATAATGGATTGGAGGGGGGGGGGGCGGGGTGTGAGATAAAACACTGTAAATTAATATTGAACAATATCGGTAACGGCTCTCCCCGGTACTGTGCTGCTCGTTCGGGCGATTACATTCGAAATGAAAAAAAATAAACAACAACTCTAAGACAATAATTCACCGACGTGTAAATTGGCGAAGGGCTGGCGATTTCGGGAATTGAATTTCAACACCAGTTGGCTGGCTTCCATCGGGAACGCGGATCAGCGGGGTTCGTCGTAAGTACGTTATTTTTCACGGCCTTTTAAAATATTATTATACACCGCCTAAACGCGCGCGTTGGCGTTTTGGGCGATATTGATCTCATAATTTTTAATAAAAATCCCACCGAAAGAAAAGCGAGTTCTTCTTTTCACCGGCAACCGCTTCTGTGTAGTCGGCGCACCGGAAAAAAGTGTTATTATTATTTATTTATTAGATTTCGCTTTGCGGGCGTCACATA